CTCAAAATACAGCAATACCCTAAATCTCCTGTTTGGTAAACAGCTGAATATAGACATTTCTGACACAGGCTTTAAGTGTGTCAGGCCAGACTAACTTCCACCATCAAATGACAGCACTGCTCTTGGGCTTTTCTGGCATATTTACTGCAAGGCTCACAACTTGCATGCACAGATGCCTAGATTCAGCTGTGTCAAAAAGCACGATCAAAGAAGCTCTAACAGGGTGGGAAAAGGTATACATAGCACATCATCCTTCAGCTAAAACAAAATACTACTAACCAAATCTGCATTCGGTCATTGTGCAGAAGACTCGAGAACAAGAGTTTTAGCTCATATGTTTCCATTAACACACTCTAGGAAAAGTAAGTTTGTTCCTCACTTTCTCCTTTTCCTCAGTACAACAAAAACATTCTCTTGTGAACTGCTTTTATATGCTTAGGTGAAATAGGCTGGAAAATGTATAGCTCAAGTGCACTCCCCATGGTTCTGCAAAGGATATTCTGCTAACCTCAGTACATCCATACAGTCTGGAAACCCTGGTATGGATTGTGCACTGTGAGCGGAGGAGCACGTGGCTGCAATCCTTAAAGCCTTGACAGTGACAAAGGTGGCAACTAGCTACAACCTGCTCCATGTTAATTAGGTGTCTCTGGAGAGGTATGGACATGGTCTTCACTCAGCACTCTGACCTGAACACCGAGTCACCTGTGGCCCTCCTTTAACACAGAGCTTCTAAGTTTCTGGTGTGTCAGGGAGTCTCTGAACAGCACTTTCCCAATCCCTAAATGGAGAACACTAGCTTTGTTTTCAGGGGAAGTAGTTTAAAAAAATTAACTTGTCAAATCACTTCCCTATTCTGTTCTCTTCAGCCTATCAAAATTAGCCAGGTAGTAAAATCCTTTGAGAAGACTGAAGTATCACTTCACAAAAAGTTGTGACAAAAATGCATCAAATAATTCTAATCTTCCTATCTTTCTAAAGGGACGCTGGCACATTAAGTGATGACCAGTTATACAGCATTCTCCAAAAGAGGGCTTTACAAATTTTAATGATTTTAGCAACATGCCATTTCATAGTAAAAGCTGAGTCCAAAAGAAAACTGAAGCGTGCCACATTTTATACTGATCAAAAGAAATGTTTCGTCACTAAAGTAGTAGTGCTGAACAAAATTGACATAAAAAAGAAATGATGAAGCTAGTGTCCCCAGCAGGACATCCTGGAACCAATGCTAGCTCTGAAAGGAGAAGCTTCAAGTCAACACAAGCAGCAAGAAGGGTATTTCCACCCCATAGCTACTGTCTTGTGTTCTCACTTACCTTTGCCCTAAAGTGTTACTGTTGAATCCTCTATTCTTTGACTCCCTCCAGTTAATTCTCCTCCACGCTGTCTCACATGACCTGTCACTATCCTTCACTCCTAGTTGTATTAAAGTATCACTTGTGAGGTCCCCAGATAGCAGAAAAGCCCCAACATACCTCACCTGAGACAGCATTAAGATCTGACTAATCAGCACCATGGGAAAGCCTCTCTCATCTCTAGCATAATCCCACCAAGTGAGCTGGCTGAAAAAAAAAAATAATGAAAGCTACAAAACCAAAGGAATCCAGGGAAGGAATTCCCATCTCAGAGGTAGGTATCCTAGTGCCTGCGCAACACAAAAACCAGTTAACAGTGCAGGCTGCTTAGTATACAAAGCTAATCTAGCAAAAAAAGTGGGATAAGGTTGTCATACGTCACTCAACTATAGCAAGGGTGTCAGACTCTTAGCATTACATCATAAACTGTGATATATCTAGTGCTGTATCAGCCTCTGCTCTCCAGTAGCTCCTCAGGGTAAACTTACTGCCCAAACACAGATTTATTAATTGGGCCTACGCAGACTGCTTACATATGACTTTGAAGTCACAAGTTCTCTCTGACTTGGGCTTTCAAGTAACATGGTTGTGAGACCCATAACAGCAGGCACTGTTCAACTGAAGAACTTCTGCCTAGCAATAATGCTCCATCTCGATACAGAAAATGTGACCACATAGGCTACAGAACACTATGCAGCATCTCTCCCCAGTGAATGCTTCATATAGCACAAGTATCTCAATATTATAAAACATTGCACTCTGTGGGTAAGAAAAAAAAGTGATCCTACAAGTTTCTGTACCAGAAGGCCCATTCTTATAAAACAAACCTCTCTGAAAAGAAACTTAATGCACCTAACAGATTTGGACTTCAGAATACAAAGGGGGAGAGCAAGTAATTGTAAGAAGCCTGATACTACATTGCTGAGCTCCTCCTGGAAGGATTCCCTCCTATAAAACTTCTAAATTAACAGGCCAGGGAAAGTAACAATAGAGACTTCCTATGGTTGACACAAGAAAGATGCTACCCTTTAAAATTCCAAAGGTGCAAACGTGGGACAGATTTAAGGTTAAAAAAATAGCAGCAGCTTTTATGGAAAAAAAATTGCTGATGTTTTCTTCACTCTTGTTTTTGCAATTTTACATATGTATACTTACGATATAAAAGTGCATGAGTGGAGAGGTAAGTTCAACTATAAGTTGAGGACTGTCACAAAATCCAGCTCAGGTCCTGCAAAGAGTGATCTCCTCCACCTGAACAATTACAGCATCCTACTGTTCTAATGAAAATTATCTTGAGGTGTCCCATGACATGACCAGGGTTGCCAGTAGCACATAATAACAGTAAAACTATGGAGGGAGGAAGGCTAACAGTTCCTGTCTGCCTCTCAGGTGACTAACTCCACCTATCGCCCAAAGAGGGACGGAAGCAGCAAACACCTAAAAAAACCTGTTGGGTCTTGGCAGCATGTTAATACCACCATGCTTACCACTGTTGGCTTCTAAGTAAGCAGGTTTTATTTATTTAGAAGCCATCAGCAACAAGACAAAAAGACATTTTTCCAGCTGTCCATAATTCAAACTGTGAATGCAAAACTAAAAAATTCTTTGAACAAATAGATTCAACCTTTCCAAGTATTTCTGAGTACCTTATTTGGAGCAATCTTCTTGCATGCAAAAGGGCCAAATACAGCAGAAAGCCTATCCAGCTGGGTTTAAAAGTGCCCTGCCACATCTGCAACAACTATTCAACAGTCTGGAAAAAAACAAAGTGAAGACTGCAGGCTGGAATTCTTCTAGTGAAGCTCCTAATACAGGCAAAAATCACAACAATACCGACACATTGTCCATAGGGACTGAAGTTCCCAACTTTGCTCACAGTCAATGCCTGGATCAAGTTCAGGCCAAGTGGGAGTACTGCATGCATGAATCTGCAGTCTCTGGGCTGTCCTCTGCACCAACCAGGGTAGTTGCACTTTGCTCAGCATTACAGTTCCCAGTGAACAAAGTTCAAGCACCGACCTGCAAACTTCAGATGCTGTTTAATTTCACCTCCTTTCGGAGTAAAGGAGCTTCCCAGTTTAATCAGAAAATATTCAGCAGTCAGCTTTGATTTTTTTTTAATCCAGTTTTTTTAGTTTAACATCCACAAAAATAGCTAGCGAGCCTGACTATACTTGCTGCCATTGTGTGGCACTTTGCTAGGAGCTCTAAGTATAAAGACTAACAAACATTTTATGGAAATGAATCTTAATAAATAGAAAGTCACAGGTTAGAGGATGAAGATGACAATGTCATCAAGAAAACTGAATCCTTATAAGGCCTCATCTTTGTAGCTGGAACATTTTATATGTTCATGTTTCATATTTCAAGATTCCATATCCCTCTAATGAAGCACTTGCAGAAAGTTCAGTGTAAACAGGAGAGTGAAGTTGTCTTCCTCAACAAGGTCAAGTAACCAAGTGCTTGAGCAAGCACCTAGTTAAGAAACAACGTCAAGTAACCAAATGCTGTCTCAAAGAGGTTTGCCCTTTTTTTTTTTTTAAATGTGAACTTTATCTACACACAAGAATTTTAAATAAATACTAGCAGCTTCCTGGCAATAATCCCCAAAATGTAACAGCAACCCATTGTTACTCTTACCACTTCAGAGTTAAGTTTCTTCCAGAAATAAAGACACAGATAGGTCCACAAAAATGAGCTACATATTCTAACACAGACCTCACACACAGTATGTGATAAATACCACACCTACGTCCCACCCATGAAATTATATTCTTCACAGAATTATGTCACTGCACAGAGAAGTTGCTGAGCTTCAATATTTATGGCAAAGTGAGGACAAGGTAAAAGCGAAGCTATAAACAGCAGTGCTGAGATATAGGGAACACGTGGCAAATGTATGCATAAGATAGCTCAAGAAATGCTCGGTGGATGAAAAGAAGGAAAAAAAAAATCAGTAACGTTCTGTATGTCTGCAGGCTTTATGGTTGCTCTTTTCTGTAGTCCTTCCTCCTGGCCTTCCATTACGACTAAGTTAGTGCACAGCTCATGACTAACCAGCTTCACCCTATAACTCTATACAGGTGTCTGTGTGCAGAGAGAGAAACCTTATGTTCATCATTGCCTCTCCCCTATTCAATATGCGGTAGTCATTTTAACATACAGTTTCAGGAATTTGTTCCCATTGGAGTAGCACAGAGCATATTTGTGACCACTTTCACTCTACAGAAAAAAAAACAGTGGATGTTTTCAAGTTTATCAATTTATACTGAATCAAAATCAACCACCTTGAAAATAAAATACAAACATGTGCATTGATGATCTGTCCAAATCTGTCTAAGCCTAGCTAATTTCCTAGGCTTCAGAAAGACACGATTCAGAAATACCCTTGCTGTCTCACCGACCTTCAAACGCTGTCCGTGTGCTGTCATTCTGAACCACAAGAATTTGAACGGCTGTGTTGTATGGAGAGCATCAGTGGTGTAATTAGTCTGAACAGTACTTAAACCCCTCTCCTCGTCAGGAAAAACACAGGCACTTGCCCAGTTATACTCTGACAGGCGAGGTCCCCTGTACTCGTCTTACAGCTGGACTGACTGGACAAGTAAGAAAAGGCATAAGATAGGCCAGTGTTTCTTCTTTTCATTACTTGATCATATGAGTCTCTTCATCAGCATCATAAAACTCCTCATCTTCACTTCCACTCCCTGCAGAACTGTCTTTGTCTCCAGACTAGAAACAAAAATGAAGTCATTGGTTAGCACAGAAGCTACTAAATCAATCTCAAAACACTTAAGCATGAACCATTACACCTCTGTTGGAATGCCGGTAGAGAAAAAGGAAGAGAAGACAGGTCAAATCACTGTATTAAAACTTTGTAAGACACATTATGTGAATTAAGATTTCTTTGTGTCCTTGGTTCTTCAAAATCTCTTTAAAAGAAATGGGCTTCTAGTGGGTGGACTTTCTCTGCTCTGTCAGTACACTAGAGAACACATGCAAGAGAGAGATTGGCTAGAATGGTTCTGAAGTGGTAATTTACTCAGCTTCTATTAAGTCTAAAGTCCCTACTCTGTGGTGAGCTACTGGAAACAGAGGCTCAGAACACAGAGATTGCTTGATTAGGTAAAAGCTTCTCCATCCAAATTATTACTTCTCCATGTGTAGCATGGGCATTTTCCTATGCAAGTTTTTAATTAAAAAGATCCCCCTGCAGTACTAACTAAAGTTATGGAAAAGGCAAAAAACACTACCACTTTTTATGTTCAGAAAGTAAACTCCCTATTATAGGCATACCTACTACAGCCAGAGTCCTTTTAACAACAATTTATCATATACCTGAACTAAAGTCAGTTATTACAGCTAATTGATTTTTATTTGGCCAGTGTAGCATTTTTCCATGGAACTGATACAAATTATTCCAGTTAAAAAGATTCTCTTGCTAGTATAAACTCCATCTAGTTTGGGTATTTAGGAATTTTTCCAGTATGCTTGCATCCACCCTAAGACTTCTGCCTGCCTAGTCATATGTGAAGAAGGGTGAGAGAGAGGGTGAAAAACAGAGAAATGGAAATCATGTTCCTGACTGACAGTACCATGCAAGCAAAATCTGTAGCTTTAGATCTGTCTTCAGAGGAGTTTTGCTACAGCAATGCGCGCGTTAACTGCAAAGGAATTTCAAACAGTTTGAGCACTAAGACCTGTCAGAAGATATAAAGGGAATCATGTTATGCTTTTTTCTGGATTTCTAAAGTTATTTGAGGAAAGTCAGGCCATCACTGGATGCTGTCCAACTTGAGTATCATTCATGTATGTTAACAGGGACAAAACCTCCATTCTGGGCAACTAGAATACATGTTACCCTGAAAGTGGTACAAAAGGACAATGGATTCCACAGGGGGAATTCAGGGTATGCCAAACAAATTCTACACCTTTTTTTACAGCAGCTTCATAAGACCTCTCCATGGCCTTGTCAAATAGGGTTAATGTTTAACAGCTTTTCATTTTATCAGCGCTTTCTTTGTGAGCTTTAAAATAAATCCCTAATGTGTCACAGACATTCCAGATATAACTTCACTGAAGTTACGGGATTACTTCAGGCCTGAACCAACAACTTTTTTTTCATTTGGATTCAGTAATTTTAATCCATCTGGGGAAAAGTGTTCCTGAAGAATGTTCTCAATTTTTTTTTCTTTTTTTTTTTTTTTTTTTCTTTTGTGGATCTTATGGCTCCTGTTCAGGTTGGGATTTTTGAGAAGTCTGCAGAAGCGCAAGCAGGGAAGATTTAAACCTGAGAAGACTGCTTGACAGAAGTGAACCAAGTTGTGCAAATAGCAATAGACAGACAATACCTGTCACCCCAAAGGGCAATACTGACCCCTTACTTGGTTAGAAAGGAAAATAAAAATGTGACTTTCCCCCCCTCTAAGTTGTAACACCTGCACTGTTTGCTAGAATTGTTTTTTGTTAGTAAGCCATCTGCACAGTTAGGATGTAATAATGATGTAATTACCAAAATACCACGATGGATTTGTGTAGCCAGCAAGAATGCGGTGCCATAACACATTATCCAGTATGGTAAAAAGTCTTTATAAAATGTGCATGTAAAGTAGCTAAAGTATAAAATTAATTGTTGCAGGGCTGCCTCTTCCAAGCTTTCTTCAAGGGTGCTTTTGTCCCTAAACCGTGCTGTCCTGTCAAGGATTATTACAGCTAAAATTGGTAAACAAGGCAACATCTTGAAGCTTTTAAAAGGAAGCAACTGTTCTCATTCTAGAAATAAATGTTCCTCTGCCTCCTGGTTTCTGTGAAAATAAGTTTACGACTACCTGTGAATCTCGGACTGCTTGACCAAAAATTAATCAATTTAAAGTAAAAGGTGTTATAAGGATCCTGCCTCACCTCAGCCTAACGGGACAACTAACATTTTTTGTTATGAGTTGCCCTTCATGTCTTCTGACCACTTAATCAAATTTTATTAGTCCATCGATACTTAAAATTTTGGGACTAGGTTTTAAACATTAAAACCTTACCCAAATTCAAACACCCACTTCCAGCTCTTTAGCTACTTCTCTCTAATCCCACTCCATTCAGAGGAGCAGCCATGTAAAAAAAAAAACCTCCACATGACTGGAAGATGTACACATCTCAAGAGGTGTCCAGGAGTTTGACAAAATGAAATATAAAGTGATATGAAAAAACAACATTTGAGGAAACCTCACTGAAAAACATCCTGCTACCACATCTATTTACACTTATGCCTGGGAGTTTTGTAGTTCCAACATTTGCAACGAATCTCATTTCCCAGAATCAACAGTGGAACAGATCTCAGAGGTTAGTCTAGCTTTAACCCATTTAAAGACTCTCTAGGATAGACCTAATAATTGACCTTGCAGAACAGCCAGTGCAGGTCAGGGCAGAAGTACAGTGTGCTGCCTTTGAGAACAGCCCTTCACAAACAGGCTTCTGTTTTCTTTATCATCTAAGCCTTCTCAAACTTCAGTGGCCAGCTTTGCATGAAGCATGCTGCAGCAATCAGTCTTAGAGATTAGAGAGGCACAGACACCACCAAGTCCTTTATCCCAAAGGAAAAGACTAAGCTTTTGGCCTTGAAGGGATGAACTAACCCAGCTATGTTTCAGCTTGCATTTCCAGACAACATTTGAGACATGATAGTAAGGTTACTAAACTATCTTCTGTATCTCCTTGGGGCCTATCCTTCACAGGCCAAGAATCACTATCCTCATCTATTTAGAGTGACATATTCAAGCTGACAGCTGAAATAAACACAACAGAAAAGTACTAGGAAAAAATTAATATACCTGTGAGCCATCTAGGGCTTGCAATGACATGGCTTCATCACCCAGCCTCCAGTACGAGCATACCTGCAGGTCTGAAATAGTTTCTAGCAAAGGGCTGTTTAAGGTCTCTGGCAACAACAAACTTAAGAGCCCAGACAAAAGGCCAGTTGCTCCAAACACAATGTAAGGCAGAGACCACTGTACAGATTTCTGGAAAAAAGAACAGAGAGAGAGTTAGGTTGAGATTGGTTCCCTCTAGTTCATGCCGCATACTAAAGCGCTTAACCTTTACAACCATTCCATCTGGCAAGTGTTCATGTTTAGCATAAGTTACCAATCCTACTGTTTTTTTTTAACCAATATTGTCAATTGTATCTTATCAATACTATTAGATCCACACAGATTTTGGGACAGACTTTGAAAGAAATGCCTGCTGAATTTATACTCAATTCTTGTCCATTGTTAAAAAGTACACATGTACTTTTTAACAAACGCAACATCACTTTGTAGTAGCAAAGAGATATCACAGAATCACAGACATGCTGGTTGTAAGAGATCTCTTGAGGTCATCTAGGCCAACCACCTCCTCTAAGCACAACTACAGCCAACATTAGACCAGATCAATCATAGTTTTGTGTAACCAAGTACTGAAAAAAACCAAAGGATCGAGATTCCCCCTCTGAGTAGACTGTGCCAGGGCTACATTAAGCCTCTCAAAAATAATATTTTCCAAATTCCCTATCTAACCCCCAAGCCAAAACTTGTGGCCTGTTCCACGCTGCTGGGAAGATCAAAGGTGCAATATTCGCTCAAGCTTTCATCTGAAGCCATGTGCTCTAGGCCCCTGACCATCTTAGTTACCCTCCCCACATTTTTCAACATCCCTCTAGAACTGGGAGGGAACTTAATCTGTGGGCCACATACTGAACTGGGCTTGATGTAGCTCAGTGTGACATTTGCCTGTTTGTGATGAGAGGATACTGCTAGCTCCCATTTAACTTGTCATCCATTGTCTCTTCGAGCAAAGCTGCTACTTAGCCAGTTGGTTCCCAGCCTGTACTGACCATGTAATTAGTCCGCACCAGAAACAGAATTTTATTCTTCCTGTTGGCCTTCATGGGATTTCCGTTGGCCCAAAAGGTCCCACTGGACTCAAGATCTCCAATTTGGTGTGTCAATCACTCGTCTTTATTTTGCATCCTCTAAAAATATGAGGAGGACGTATTCTGTCTTATCTTCCACTTGTCACCAGCCACCAAATATGGAGCCTGTCACTATCCCTTTGAGCCTGGTGGTCCATGCAACATTCACATCTAATATTCCTTTCGTCCAGAAAGCACTTCCTCAGCTGTCAAACAAGAATGCTGTAGGACAGTGTCAAAAGCCTTACAAAAGCCTTTCCTGCTCTCCTCCATTTCCTCATACATATTACCTTCTGCGATGAAATGGTTGACTATTAAATCAAACTGGCTGAGAATGAATTCTCCTTAGTAAACCCATGTTCACTGATCCTGATTACCTTCTTGGCCTTCACATGCTCAGAAACAGACTCATGTTTGTTGAGTCTGTTTTGTTGGCAACTCAGAAGGTCATGTGCCATGATCTTCCCAGAGACTGAATTTGAGCTGCTCAGCCTGTAACTCCCTGGATCCACTTTCTGATCTTGAAGACACACATAGCATTAGCTTTTTTTTTTTTCTTTTCCACTGTTATCAGTGACCTTTCTCTACAACAATGGTTTATCACAGATGATGGACACTTGCCACACTACCACAGCCAGCTCTTTCACCACCTCTTAGGGAATCCTACCCCATGGAACGGAAAGCTTTCAGCTTTAAGTGTTCTTGAACCTACTGCTCCTCCGCTGTTTGCTGGCCCTCTGCTTCCTCAACTGTGCTGATATGCACAGTCTTAGGGTCAGGCTTTGCCTATGAAGACCAAAGCAAAAGTGTTAAGTATTTCAGCTTATTCCATCTCATACACCTATAGGATGTCCATCCCATTCAATAAGGGACTAAACATTTTCTCTAAGTTTCCTTTAGCTGATGGAATCCCTATTTATGCTCCTTGCTAGTCTTAGCTTCCACTGAGCTTTAGCCTTCCTGTCATCACCCCGACAGCCTAAGCAATGTTTATACTCCTCCTTTGATGCCTGTCCTTGTTTTCACATGGCTTGTCACAAGCAAAACTACACTGGGGAAAGGTGTGTGCAAAAATATGAGTCATCTACAATATAGCTCCAAAATGTGTACGTTCACTTTCAGATGACCAGTAAAGCAAGCTCATTTAAAAAAAGGCAAGAGTTTAGCTGTTTGTTTCAAAAACTCACTTTGTGAAGAGCAGTTCTAAATTGAGAAAATAACAGACTGTGATCAAATACAAGAGCAACATTTCCTCTCAGCAATTCACTTTTCCCATTCCCATCCTTTTTGTAAGATCCCCAGAAAAAAGATACTGAAAATGCATTACAGTAGTTGAAGAAATTCCAAAACAAAAATACTTAATTCTTTCCTCAAATCCATGTTCATTTGTTATTTAAACTGAGCTATTTTCACTTTCATGGGACCCCTTCAAACGCGATGATCCAAGATTTGTGTCTCCTGCATTGCCAAATCTCTGCTTAGATACAACATAATGATGCCCCAACTGCTACACAAAAGCTGCCTATTAAATCTACCTGGGACACCTGCACCAGTCTTGGCTTTACCTATTGAACCCCAGAGGCACTCGCACTCTCACCTACCCAATGTTTCATTCTGCAGATTAAAAGGCTCACTGTGCTCATCTGCCCTTTTGCTAGCCCTCTGCCTGACATAACAAGAAGGCAAATGGCAGAGAGGAAAGTTATTCCAGATGAAATCCATCACATTAAAGGAATTGTCACTTGACCTGAGCAAGCAGTTTGTGTGAAAAACTAGCACACTTTTACCTGCATACACATAAGACTACGAACATAGAGGAGAATAACGGTATCATCCCCATGTTTCGTTCTTCGGAATTTTTCTTTGCCTTGACAGACTGCTGTGAAGTTCGTGCTCAAAAGCCTTGCCAGTATATCAGGTGTCCACATCATCATCTTCATTCATTGAAAGATAAACCACTTTGCTGATAATTACAATCCATGGATATTCAATGAAGTGTACTGACAGTAAAACTAATTCATTCTCAGAAATATGAGTTATTGAGCCCATATGCTTTATCTTGGTGCAGCAGATCTTTTAACTGTGGGTTTTTTTGCTATTGCTTGCTTAGGGTTTAAAATTGGGTATCATCATCTTGGTATTTTGAAATTACTATATTGCTAAAGTCCACTAGCCAAGTCCCAAAATTCTTACAGGGCTAAAGCACCTTGTGAACTAAATAACGCTGAGTTTTTGTCTAATTACAAAGATTATATCGCAATGCCTTTGGCCTACCACAATACTGTTAAGACATGCAATTTACATATCTTAGTTTATCTACATAATGTATCCAAAGCATTCCCACCTCTGTAAGCCTCTGATACATCAGAGCCACAAAAAAAAAAGATATACATAACAGTGAGAAGTTCAGACAAACCAGTGAAGGGACGAAAGGAGCAATGATTCCACCAACACGGGAAAACATGGAGCAGGCACCCATTCCAACATTCCTAAGAAAACAAAAATCATTAATCAGTGACATTTACACAGAAGAAATTATGACTTTTGAAAAGTGCCACTGAATAAGGAGAAAAATCTCAGTCATGACCCTGACCACATTAACTGGCAAAGAAAATTCAAATGTAACTGAAAGCATCCCAAGACAGGAATTAAAACAGAGTGCTTAAAGAGAAGCAAAAATCCCCTGCATGTTCAGAATTCTAACATACATATACATATAGAGAGGCAAAAGTGCAATTTCAGTTAATGCAATCTTGTCTCTGCCTGAAACTTTGGCTAAATTCCTTTATCCAAATCCTATTTATCAGCAGATTTGCCCACCCATGAAAGACACCACAGTATAGTTTCACTGGTGGCTGATCATCAACAGTAATAGCTGGTTAAAATATCTAGTAAAAATCGCACCCATATGATAGACGCTTTTGTCTGCTCTATCAGCACAAGCACGGGGTACTTCCACCTCTAGTGAGTGAAACCTTACTGTTGCTTACGTATGGCTTACGAAGCACCGAGTTACTTTTACAAAGCTTACTGACCAGTCATCTTCAGTGTTACTGGTTAAGCAAGTATGAATGTTTAATAGAGTTGTCTGGTTTATAAAGCACTGAAGAAGTTAGATATCACTCATTAAAGAAATATCAGCAATACTACTGTTATCCTCATTAGTGGAGAGAGGGCTGTGAGCATACCAAGCAGCCAAAGGACTATTTTACTGTTATATAAAGAATATGGTTAGTCTGAAGAGAACACTGCAAATTTGAGGGAATAGGAAGTGAGAAGAGGATAAGGGAAGAAATTTAGCATATAAAACTACAGATAATCATTATATGTAACTGAAAATCTCAAATGAAAACATATAGTTAACAGAAAAAAGTAACAGAGAAGTAAGAGATGATCAGATAAGAGAACCAGAAAAATGAAGATCTTAAAATTAACTTGTGTTACCTGATCACTGTGGGATAAAGTTCTGATGTATAGATGTAGACAATGTTAAATGCAGCACTGATTGTCAGTTTCCCCAGCAAAGACAGAGAGCGACTATTCACCACTGCAAACACTCCAGTATCTGATAGAGAAAATATGACCCTTGTAAGGCTTTTGAGCACTCAAATACATCTCCGTAATCATTTCAATCACACAACAGTATGGAGTGAAGAGGAATCTACTGAAGAATCTGCTATGACAGCCAAGCGTTTTTCTATTAAAGGACAGTATTTGTCAGAGGTGATCTGTACCTTTAGGAAAACTCAAAATTCAAGAGAATCCAAGGAGCCTTCTTTTAGGCAGCAATGGCTAAAATCATCCAACATAATTTATATTCTGTGTCTACAGATTTATTACCTTTATCTGTGCAATCAGATTTTTTTTACAGAGGAAAACTCTCCATGTAACACACTGAAAAAATAACTGAAAATGGATTTTAAATTGATGGAAGACTTGCTACTAGCCCAAAATTGTTTCCATTCTATTAAATATAGTCCAATAGAAAAAGACTGGGTTAAATGACTGAACAGTCCCAGAGACTACAAAATGGAACTATTGCTTAATAAAAAAAAAAAAGAGAAGCTGAGTTTCCCTTCCTTGTCCTCAGTGTTACAATAAGTGACATCTTTAAAGTGTTAAAATCCTGCATTAAGGCTCTACTAGAACATCATTTTAGAAGTGTAAGGTAAAAATCCTATAAACATAGTAAAAGCTGAAACTAACTCAACATTCTGAGTCTACCACTAATAAAATACTAAACTAGTTCTGTAAATAAGTTGAAGAAAATAGTTATGAATACATTTTTCAAAAGTGAGCAAGTTTTTTTTAGTAACGAGCCCTATTCAGTGTCAATTCCATAGTATGATAACATGCTTCTAACATTATTACTTTGGAAGAAAAACAAAAGACAGGAAGGTGCTGTAAAGAACTATACCAAATATCCCATCCAGCTCAGTTTTGTCACGGCCAGTGCTTATTCACTTATACCAGGCACATCAGAACACGCATTAAATGCCTACCAAGGAAGGCTACAGCATAAGCCGTTACTGCTTTGAACAAGTCACACTCAGTAGAGACAGGTGCTTGCTTCTGGCCAGTTAGACATTTCACTTCCTAAAGGTACTTTGCTCTTGGCTGACTTCGGCAGTTCAGCACACAGCTGATTTCCTGGGGTCTCACAGTTCTATCCTCTGAAAATCTCTTTCTTTTCACGTTATACTTGGACTGATATGCAAACACTACTTGATAACTGGTACCAGCCTAACCAGAATATCTCAGAATGTCTGGGCTCTAGCATCTGGAATACTTCTGGAAGCTTCAGTTGCACCCGTTTAAAAAAAGTTTTACCTATTAGATTCGTTACCATCTAGAGCAACTTGTGCATACTCTCATCATAAATGTTTAATCTTTTTGAATCATGCTTCAAATGTTTGAAGCATTTTTTCTCCTTATGACAGATGTTATACATGCACAAATCTTACAAGCTTGAGATTAATTTATGTACCTAGTTTTCAAAGGAAAAATTGCTCACTGTGCAATTTTGTTTCTATCATTTTGAAAAACATCTGAAAATGAAGAAATGAACATTAGTGTGTCTTTACAAAAAACACATTTCATTTCACATTTCTTAAAGACCCCTTGCTTCAGACAATTTTCAGAATGCTTTCTGAACTGTAAGTTATGTGGCCACATTACTAATACCACAATCACACCAGTCTTGAACATTACAGAATAGTGTGGAAAAGATGGAAACTTGCCAAGATTCAATTCTTAGGAGCTTTTGACATTGGTCTTTCACTTAGAGAGATACGTCCAAGTTGCATGGGTACTACTTACACTGACCTATCATTTGGCTAATGGAGATACCCCAAGAAACATCATTCTTTGAGATTAAGTCAGAAACACTGGAAAGGAATGACTGATGTGGTCAGAAGTAAAGGGCAGAATCCAAAGACAAACGTTCAAATCCAAGCCTTTCTAACAAGCTTTCCTTAAGGTCTTCGGAAGGTTGCTGCTTACCCTTTTTGTGAGTTAGCTTCTCTGGCTTCAAAAATTGAGACTCACATGTGGTATGAGCCTAATCTACCGGCAACCATCAAATTCTTAGGCTGTAGGATGCTGTGTTTACAACTTCTTATCACATACTCCAGAAACAAAAGGAAATATTTACCTTTCTTTTTAGGAAGAAACATGACAATAAGACAAGCCAATCCTCCCAGGAACAGAAATGCACTCAGTGTTCGCTTCCGACCAAACCTGATGTGCAAGGATAACAAAGCTTTATTCTGCATTAGATCTGTAGTTTGCAGAGCAATGAGTCCTCTAAATTCACGTTGACTCTTTACTTGCAGTTGGAAATTCTGAATGCCATCTCTCAAACACTTCCTCTCACATTGTTTTTAAGCAAGCTTCTACTGCACTCTTAACAAAATGAACATCAAGAAGTCTTTATGCAGTGGCTGACAATTTCTAGGATTTTGATTTGCTTCCCACTGTGCGTGCGCGTTTGTAAAACTCCTCAGGAGACATGTAGAGAAGAGATTGGGAGGTGAATTCTACAAAAAGTGAAAGACATTGTCCAGAGTATCATGGCTCAGGAAAAGGCTAAATATCTGAATCAACAGCTCTGCTCGCATACTAGTGCACACAGCAGCTATTACACAAAACCACACGACAGCTTCGGTTGAGTTTACTTGCAATAGCTTTGACATAACAGTGAGAATGCGGACTACAAGACAGAGGTGGGAAGAATGCCATCTTGTGTTAGCATGGAGTCAGCACAGGTTCGACTGATACAGGAGATCAGCCTCACCTCTGAGCCAAATTTAGACTGCTCATTAATAAGCGAGCTACTCAGAACAAGTTAAACTGTTGTTATTTGAAATAAAGATATATCAATGACACTTTCAAATAAAAATGCATTTCCCAGGAGAATATAATGAAGTAGTAACACTGAAGCAGAAGTCCCACACAACAGATATAAGCTACAGAAAAATTATAACAAAACAAAACACTGAATGGGTTAATAAATTTCATACTTACCATTTTTGGTTAATCAAGTAAATACAGATTGGGTACGCTGGGATTTCTATCAACCCTGAAAGGGCTAAATTGGCATAAATACTTCCACCTAAGTCACCCACGTTAAGGGTAAGACCATAGTAAACCAAGCTGCACACAAACCTGCAAAAGACGGAAGAGTAAAATCAGAGCTGCCTGCCAAATCAAAGCACTCATCTGGCACAATACACTATAAACTATATTTAATGTTTCAGAAGATAGGTCTAAAATGTCTCTCTGCAAGTGTACAATGCTTTCTAGGTAAAGAAGCCATTTTGTCTCTGCACAGACCCAATTCCTGACTTATTACTCAGTTAAACTTAAGACTACACTCAAGAAGAATGTGCATAAACCAGAATAAAGTTAAAATATGATCATGATTATATTATTTGATAAGTGATGTCTGTCCTTTTTGTTTTTATCAGGTTTCACTTTAGTCCATACTTTTCCAATTGTGTTTAAACCCTTTCTCAAACAGTTCAGATGACACTTCTGCCTTCTTTTAATTTCTACACCCTAGTCCATTTTTATTCATCCTCCAGTTCTGAGTTTTTTACTTTTCTTTTGTAACCCTGACTGGCTGTCGTCTTTACAGAAAGGAAAGGAACAGGTCACTAATTCATGCTGCCAGAAATCAGCAATTCTCATTTAAGGAACAGAAAAATCAACTATTCTGCAGTAAGCATTTGGAAAAGCAACAGGAACACAGCTCTGTGTTGTCTGCTGACAAAATAATGCCATTTGTTTTTTTCCCCTTCATCAATACATCTTTCCCAAATATATGCATTATAAAAGCAACTGTATGAACGGTAATGCAGAGGACTCACATACCATGTCATACACAACATTTATTTCAAAGTAACAGCAGAAGACCTCAGGGCTAGCCGAGCTATCTGAAACAAAATAGGCACTTTTGGAGAGTTAAGTTTCTGCTAGTGACTAGAGGTAGTTCCTGCTCCCTGTTCCCATCATGGGTTCCTGCTCCTTACTACAGCAACTGCTAGCACTGACAGCACTTTCTCTCAAGAAAATAAATACTCATTAGACAAGGTAGGCCACCCACCTGCTAATGGGCTCCTTACACACAAAACAGTAATCCGTGTGACTGAAAGTACTCACACATAGCACTGGGCCAAAGAGGAGGACAGCATGACTAATCTCAGCAGTCTTTGAAGGTCAGAAAGGAAGAGAGAGTTCTCAACTATTTTGAGACTCAAAAAACATGACAAATGCAAAGATAAAACACCTCAGAACTAGATTGTAAAAATGTCTTCATGTTAGAAATGCACTAAGGAAATACTGTAATACAAGGATCCTTCTTAGGTACAGTGTCCCTAATAATACAGGCTGAGACCAAGTACAATCTGCAGGATAAGCCAATTCTCAACAACACGTTCTCTGAAAGACTTAAAGAGGCAACAGTAGCACAGCTGGGCCTATGAAGTATTTCAAGTACCAGGTAAACATCATGATCAAGGTGCGTCCCAAGAGAATCTTATATCGGAACAGATCCAAGAAGCTGCCAGCCTCTCTGGAGCTCCTCTCTGCCGGGAGTTTTAATGAAAAAGTGCACTTCTGCTTGCGGTTCCTCTTCGCAATGAGGTAGAGGGCATCTTCTGCTTCACTCAGCCGGCCTTGTGAATAGAGCCAGCGAGGGGACTCTGGAATGAATCTGAAACACACATACATACACAGACAGCTTTAGAGCTTTTCTCTTCTACGAGGCTGGACTTGTCTATGGAAATAAGACTGAAATACTTTTCAGTATAACAAAGAATTTTTCAAACAACCCTTCAGGTACAGAATTCACTTATTGAAACAGAGACAAAGCATGTTGAAAGGAAAGGAAACATAAGTCACATGTAATTTAGATACCAAGAAATTACGTTGAGTATATTCATATATACACACAATACTACAGATTACAGTATCATTAGGGCTCTCTCTTAGGATAATTCAGAATTAAGGAGGCACCACATTACTACAAGTAATCACAGGATGTTTTTGTAACACTAACTAGTTGTCTTCTGTTCCTCATTTTCCAACTTTTTCCTAAATTCTCTCCTGTAGACAGGAAGGCAGAGGCACTGCAAAGATCATGTTCTTGCTCCCCATGTGCACTGTTCCCTTGATAGGTCTATAACTCCAACACAGCCTACAAAACAAATCTTCTATTACTTTCAGATTCCCAAAACTAATTTAAACTTTAGCTTTTTGCCAGAAGCTTTTTAAGATTTTTGCCTCTGACCAGAAGTGACATTTTTCCTTTAAATTTGAAGGAAAATGATTCTGTGGTTTTATAAAAGAAAAGAGCTTAGAAAGGAACATGTTTTCTTCCCCATGATAAAAAAAATCTGATATAATTTTCTGCACAGAGTAATTTTTAAGCAATGTGGGAGGAAGGCAGTGTGAAATTTGGAATAAAAAAGTCCTTTATTACAATAAGATAGGCCTCTCAGCACAGCCCTGAAGTCCCAAGCATAAAGCACTTCAAAAAATTGTACATATCAATCTGAAAATTAAAAATTTTTTTCAAAGGCCCCAAACAACACTAAGTTTTGAAATATCAGAAGTGTCATCTATGCTTCTCACCTCATAAACAGCCTCTAAGACCTTTTCTTGAGTTCTGATGCTTCCTTTGAAAGGGTGTGTTGACTCTTTAGCAAAAGAGCTTTGTTCAAAAAGTTAGTTACTGAAGTTAAATAGATGTTGGAAGGAAAAAAGCCTTAAGTTTAAACATCAACTAAAGTTATTTGCTTCTTTCAAGTTACTGAGATTTTGCTGACAGGAAGTATAAAAGAAAAGAGCAGCACACTGCATCATTCCGCTTTCAGTGCTGAAGTCCACAAACACAAAACTCCTACTATCTTAATAAAGAAGCCTTCTTCCTATTCTTTCCTAATCACATTTGAAAAATAAAAGGAAGCTGCCTATTTTTTTCTTTAGCATGTCACCTTTAAGACTGTATGTGCAAGCAATTTTAATGCTGTTCCTTCTGTGTAAGCACAATAAGAGAAACATCATGTTATCACATAACCACAAAACCATTTCTGTATCTTTTAACATGCATATATAGTGTCTTGCAGCATACCAGACAAGACTTTAACTGGTATATGTAGATGATCTAAAGAATAGGATGTGCTTCTACACCACTCTAGAGACTGCTCCCATGTACAGTAACAATGCACATACAATATAATGTACACATATTTTCAAATACTGCAGCACTGCTATTTAAAGAAAGCACAAAACATGGGGTTGCAGAGGTTGAGAGAAATACCTTAGTTACACCATTTCACACCATCCTAGAAAAGCACCTTGACAGTTGTTTGGTTTGTTGGTTGTTTTTTGTTGGTTGTTTTTTGTTTGTTTGTTTTTTTTTGGGGGGGGGGGTGTTCTTATTTTTGACACCTTTCTTGATGAAACTCAGTTTGAAAAATAACTTACAGAGAGAGAAGAAAGACGACTGTTCCTTCCAGGTTAACCACAACAGCCAGAGTCCTCCAGGAACGAATGAAGTAGCCTAATAAAGCATACTGGGCAATTCCCACAGCAAAGAACAAGCCACCAATAGATCCTAATATACAATAAAACAAAAACATTACCACTCCTTTAAGGAACATTAACTCTAAACACATGGGATCAGACAGAAACTAACACTTCATTAAGAAAAATTCACTCAGCAATACAGGCAAAACCACAGCTATTTGACCAAAGAACATTCTGTCCTTCACCCACACAGGGCAACAGTATTACATCTAATTGCAAAGATCAGTACAAGTCCAAAAAGCACCATTCTACATCCTCCTCACCCAAACAACCCCATAAACAATTAAGTCTTGTAATTCCAAATGTAAGTATGTTTCAGCCTTCTATGTGTAAAAATAAATACTACAAACCATTGGAAAATTGGTATTTTTAGGAATATATAGTATTCGTTTGTAGCGCTCATGATTTGTAAGATATCCTGTTTTAAAACAGTCTCAGCATAGCACTCCTTTGGCACTTGTCACAGACTGTGTAAGTCAGGCCCCAGAGTTGTAACGGTACAATTTATGCACATCATATCTGAAGGACAGCTTCAACACTAGCAACCAAGACAGTTAAGGGTGTCTATCCTTTGTTTTAAGTTCTAAGGTTGATTACCACATGGGACAACTTTTTTTTTTTTAGATATAAACAACAGTTGTCTCATCTTTCCATTATATAAAAACACTTCTGCTTTCTCTTTGAGAACTGCCAGGAATGAAAGAATTGATATTTAGCATACAAACACTAAGCTCTGTTTAGCAGAGTCCAAAATTCTGATGGATAGAGCTCAGCTATCACGAACCTCGGATGAGTATTTAGCTGTGTAACATTCACAGGGGATGTTTCAACTGGATCTTTGTCAACTTGAGTGATGCAGAAATCTGAATGGCCCCAAGTCATCTACTGCGCTTGTCTTAAGGTTCATATTAAACAAAGTGGGGCTCAGAGACTGTGGTCACACAGATCCTCAAGCAGAGTTAAATTTGCAACTGCTATGGTATTAGTTTTGGTGTGTCTCAAGTGGTGTGTGAGACTCTAATCTATAAATTCTGACGACAAAGACACTGACACTCAAACTTTACCTGCTAATGCCCAGTAGGCAGTACCCACACACTCATTCAGTAGAACAAAGGCCACCAGTGACATTCCACCATTCATCATCCCTACCAAGAAGCGAGAGATGGCAAAGAATTCATATGAGGGTGAGAATCCATTTGCAATGGCAAACAAGATGTCCAGGGCAAAACCTGGAAAACAAGGCAAAAGGTTTCATTTCAGAAGAGTACCTAAAGAAAAACAGAAACATTTATAAGTATCTTTACTTGATGTTCAGCAGCATGTCTTACATAATCACAGTCAAAAACTACAACACACTGTTACATACCACAGGTTTGCGCAGCTACTTAAGTACCTAAAATCAGTATCATAAGAGGGGGGAAAAAAAAGGAGTGGTTTCTGATACATGATTTGCAGTACTAAACCTTCAAATTCAGTTCACAGCAGACAATTCTTTCCACATGCTCAGAACTTAACTGGAGCCAGACAGTAGACGGCTTGATATTTATCCCCATACAGACGCCACAAATTAAATACATGACCAAATATCTGCCTCATTCTTGGAAAGCAGTCCATACGAACTAGAGAAGAGAAACGTTACCAGGGGACAGTACATGGCGAGTTTGCACTGCATAGCAGGCCCACCTTTATCTACTTTGAGTGAGGTTGTTCCTTAAAAAAAAATAATCTGTTTTTTAATTCTACATGCTCATCCACTGACACACAACTTTATAAATACATACACAAAACATGAAGTTCCAAATGTTGTTTGATCTGGGGACAGTAAAAAAGCTTATAAGCTTTAAAACACAATGAGGATCACAAATACATAAAAATTAAATCATGCAGACAGGAGACAAAAGGTGCAACGAATTCCTAGCAGGTTATACATATAAGAACATTGCTAACAAATCACTAGAAACATTAATTGCAACCTGTGGAGATCCCATGACCATGACATGCAAAAGTGTAAGCCCTTATGGTATGATTCCTATATCCAGCACACCTTGATTGAACAGTCAAATATTAATTTCTTGCCCCTGCGTATATTCCTGAAGTATACTGGAAGGACAAAAAAAAAGTCACAGCACATTATTCACTGCTGCGTATCAAGCTCTCAGCAGAAACCGGGCTCATCACTGATCTTCAGAGACACAACACCTCCACTTCACTCATTTTGTTAGGTGGCAGTGGTTACCTGTGAGATAGACTTTCTTCCTCCCAAAGCGATCTGAGAGCTGGCCAAAGGAGATTGCTCCAACAAACACACCACTGAAGTAGAAAGAACTGGCAGCACTGACTTTGTACGATGTGTTGCCAATTAAAAAACCACTGGATGGAGGGGGGAAAAAAAAGGAGAAAAAAATAAAGAATTAACCAGAATCCAAGCAGTTCACCAACAGCTAATAGCTGGAGGGGGATGACACATACTTTAAGGAAGATCAAACTTTGCATAAATCTCCTAAGCATCACATTCAGTCAGTCAGATAGTCACCAACACACAACTGCTGTCGCCCAGACTCACTGGGTGGTACTAACCAATTGCACAGTTCCCCCAAATCATGTGCAGTCTGATTATGAAATCAAGGACAGATCACTCAGAATACTGTAATTTTTGCGGTCTTCTCCCATTCTCCCTTTTATTGCTTTTACTCACATAAATCTATTAGCTTAAATAGACTCAGTCCTACCTCTTGAGATGTGTCACTGCAGTGCATAGGCATACTATGCAATAATAGAAATTGTTTTTTATGTCCAAAGACAATCCTGCATACGTGCCTCCTTGTGAACTGTCTTGTCACCGAGAAACACTTTGGTAGCATTAGGCAGGTTTTCTGGTATTGCAAATACTCATCTTTTTTACAGTCTACTTTGTGTCATTTCCAATTCTTCTCAATTCCAAATACAAACCTGATCTTCATATGATTCTTACAGACTTAATATCGCAGGTTGAACCTGACAGGAAATTCTTTCTCCCACAAAACTGTAGAATGAAAATATGCCATGCTCTCACTGTTCAAAAGTTATTTCCCTTTGTATTCTAAAAACCCCGCATCTTGTGTTCTTTTTCTACTCCTCTTGCATCTTGAGATAATGTTTCCTCTTAGCGACATCCAACTCCTCTTCCTGTGCTGGTAAGCTGGTGATTATGCCATTATCCCTGCAATAACACTCTAATCTTCTCTTCCTCTACCAAAACCCCATTAGATATCCTTTCTAGCAAAACTCATATTATTTCAAAGCTCAGTTACAAACTACCTCACCATGAGAACAGAGCCGTGCAATTAAACCTCACCAAGATTAGGGAGCTAACAAAACAAAATCGTTCAGAAGCTCCAGGAAAATAACTTGCTCACTCTCGGTATATGCTTCATTTTGAATTGTCACTTTAACAGTAAGGTGTTTACTGATACAGTAGGTAATGTGCCCATAAAGCGTCAAGACTGACAAAATTCAATTTTGTGATCCATGTGACCACCAATCAGCTTTTGAAGCTTCTCTAGACTTTAAAAACAATTCCAAGAAAAATACATTTATCCAATAATAGCATATGAGATTAATTTTATCTTGAAATAACATGGTCAGTTTGTTTTATAAGAGCTGTAAGAATCATGCCCTAACTTTTGGTATAAAAATTAAAAAAAGCTGCCAACACTGAAACTCAGTGACATTAGATACTTTCTGAATCATTCAAGGATTAAGCGATAATTTGGTTGTGAAGCAAAATTTGTTCTGCAAACTAATCTCAACAGCTAAGAAGCCCTTTAAAGGCTTTTCTCTTCTACTTAAAGCACATTATATATATATATATGCCTGATATTCATAAACCAAGGTTTTTATATCAGAATATTTTTCAGTGTAAATTCGCAATGGTCATGTTATTAGTAAGTGATGACAAGATAAGCATGAAAAATATACTCCTCAAATGTAAAAAAAGTTTCTTTACACATCAGTAATGAAATCAGATAGCAATAGATATTCCCCAAATAAGTGTGATATCACTAAAATATTTGTATTTCGCACATAACTTCCAAATATACCACACATTCAGCTAAGAAATTTTGAAAAAAACCTGTATTTTAACAGTGGGAAATGGGAAAGGCAACAAGATTTTATACACATGGGCCTTTACTGAGAAGTATGTTAAAGAACTTCAAAGCAGAATGTACACAAGGTGCCTTGGGATTTTTTTTTAAATTTTGTATTTTTCAAGTAAACTTTGTTCTTTACCATGCAACTAAAATGCATAAGAATCTTGATAAAATTTATGTCCTAAAACACTGCTAGGCTCTACAAACATGCCTGACTTGTCAAAAGTTTGAGAATAAAAGATTCTTGGATAAATTAAAAAGCAAAAAAGAAAAAGCCCAGAGAAAGTTTCAAAACCTTACTGAGCTTTAAATAACGCTTAAAAATATCGACTATCCATTAGGATTTCAATTTAAATAGTGGCATAAGTATTCCTATTCTCTTTATTACCAGATAAGAAGCAACGCCTGTTGTACACAGCTGCTTGGTACCATTCCAAGGCTGGCAGTTTTTATTAATACGCTTATAACCAATAAAGTGCTTTACAGGTCTAATTCAGATAGCATTAATGCCTCTGGACAATAGCCATGAATTATCAAGTGGCACTACACTTGACTCAACTGTATAGCTCTAAATTCAGGTCTTGTAATAGACACACTCGGATAGGGCTCTTGCACAGAACAATTTGACGTTAACAGATACTGAAAGCCCCCTGAAGGGCAGGTGTTGCACACATCAGCACAGAGTCTGGAATAATTTCTGTAGGGACTGTGGCTAGACCATGAAAGAAGACACTTAGAAAACACAGAGGCCACACCAATAAAGCTACAGCTTGTTTTGGGATAGAACAGAGGAGTTGCTTTTTGTCCACCTGACTCCCCACTGCTCTTGCTTTCCCTCATATCTGGAGTTGCAAAGGCTGCAGAAGCCACTTCCTCTCCAGTTCTTCCACTGCTTGCTACCTGCATGATGGATGCACTACACGCATTTGACTTTCGCAAGGGAATCACAAGAGATGGCCAGAAAGAGCTCATGGTCCATAAAGGATTTTGAGCACATTAGTACAATGAATGACATAATCCTAGCTCAATTGTGGAACCAGGCTACAGGATCCAATACATAACTTCCACATGGAAGAGGTAGGATGTTTTGGAGCAGAACGTTGGTCAAGGTCTGCATAGCTAAATAAAGGTAGTTCTTGTTGCCAGTAAAGATATGAATAGATTACCTGTTCTCTATCTGGAGGTAGCACCTGTTTTGTTTGCTAATCAAAACATGCATTAGCATGGAAGAAAGAAGCAGTACAACCAGCCCCCCGCAACTGACCCAATAAGATTTACTACTCACACACGAGGCAGTGAAACACATTTCAGACTTACCTCAGAGACTATTGATGTGAAGCTGCTGCTGAAGTGTATGTGTTTATGCACCTCACTGCCATTGGCGGTCAGAAGCCATTCCCCAAAAGCTCTCTGCTCACTCACCGACTGGTTGCTATGGCTCTGATTAGCCGAGAGCTCTTGGAGATCCCAGTGGTAGGGAGGAGTTGCGCCCACCAATGCGATGAGGATGGCTTCGGTGGCCACATAGAGCTGGCATGAAAGACAAAAAACATCAAAAATGCTAAACGTACATCCAAGCAGTGTTTCCTCTGCAGTTAGATCAAATCCATATTAAAAAAATAATCCTATTTTGTATTCACCTTCTACCACTACAAGATGCCATGTATAGCCCCCATCTACCAAATATCACACACTAAAGAACCACAACTTCAACATGGTGGTTCTTGCACTTCTTATCTAATGATTATTTGAGAGAAAAGAGGTTCCCCTCCTGACACCCTTCCCTCAGTCAGAGGCCCCCCCCAACTCCCACACATAGCAAGTACACCTCCTGGATGCATGAAAAGTTGTTAGCAGTACTAAGGAGACAAAATAGAACTATACTTTGACGCAAGTATATTACTCTACTATATCCTCTCCCTCCACCTGTGTTGTTCATTCCTCTAATTTGATATTTGGAATAGGATCATAGAATCACTAAGGTTGGAAAAGACCTCTAAGATCATTGAGTCCAACCGTCAACCCAACACCACCATGCCCACTAAACCATGTCCCTAAGCGCCTCATCTACCCGTCTTTTAAATACCTCCAGGGATGGTGACTCAACCACTT